TGGACAGGGTGGGGGGTGTGGGCAACACTGACTGAGGCTAACCCTCCCATCAGCCCAGCTGGGTCGGTGTCTTAGAACTGAAGTTAGCTTAATTTACAGCCAAAACCAACACTTACATACATACACAAAAGTGAACTAGGAGATTAAGATTCATCTTTATTAAGCTAACTGGAGGATTGTCAAGAAGCAGAAGCTCTGAAACTCCTCAGGCCCCCCAAACCAATGCAGATTAGGCTCTCCTTTCCCACCTCTTGACCCCGCAGCCCCCAACTCACATTTTCTGAGCCAGTCTGCTTTAGTTACAACAAACTTAAACTCCTAATTTCTAACTCAAATTTCACACAGATGAGTAAGTCATAATGAAAACCACAATGACTTACAGATATAAATAAGCTTAGTCAAGTTACTTAACGCCAAATTCCACCTCAACCAAAACACATTGCTGTCGAGTCAATTCTGACTCATAGCAACCCTACAGCGCAGAGTAGAACTGCCCCCACAGGGTTTCCAAGGCTGTAATCTTTATAGAAGCAGACTGCCACCTCTTCTTCCGCAGAGCTGCTGGCGGGTTCAGACTGCCAGCCTTTCGGTTAGCAGCTAAGCACTTAACCACTGTACCACCGGGGCTCCTGAAGTCTACCCCAGGACTCCAATAATAAGCAATTTAGATGTCAGAAAAGAAAGTGCTTGCTATTAGTTCATTAGAAATGTTTTGGCCTTCATTTTTCTTATCTGTAAATTGGAGAAAACAGAACCTACCACAAGGGCTTCTGGGAGGGACTGGGTAAGCAAATGTATGTAAAGACATCTGGAAAAGTAGGCACCCAGATGTTAGTGTCTCCTTCCTTGTAAGAACTGGGAAAGAGAGGAAGTGAAAAGAGCCCTTGTTTCCAGGCAGAGAAAGGGGTGCATTTCTCTAAGCACAGGGCATGAAACAGGAAAGAGAGAGCCAATGCTGAAACATTAAGAGACCTACCAAGTGCCATCCAAATGCTAAATCTGACCCAAGTCTCTGCACTCAACTGGACCATCAAGTAAATGTTCACAAGGATGCTGAACGCTGGTAAAAACGGTAAGAACGGTACCTACGGAGGAAAAATCTTTTTAAACATACTCAGAATTTGAAAGCATATTCCCCCAAATTATTTCAACATGGTGGCAACTAACTGGATATTTATATTTTCATGCTGTGTCCGTAAGTTTATATTCTCGTGAAAAGAGCAATGTGAATAAAGACCCTTCTTCCAGAGAACACTAAAGGGAACATCACTTTCACACGATTTCCAGCAGCTCAAAGCAGCGGGAGATTTCTCCAGCCCACTAACACTGGCATCACCAGTAAGACTATCCAACTGGCTTTAGGTTCCACATCCACATATCAACAGTGGCATGCCTCGGGAACTCTGCATATACACGGAATTCCAGGAGGACACTTCCGGGAAGCCCTCTTCAAGTAGAAACCTGCTCTTAGCTCCAGCAGGACAGGATAATTTCCCTTGCAGAGGAAGGGGTTTTGGTGGAAATCATCGTCCTGCTGGGTAGGCACTGAATTTCTAAAACCCACATCCTCTATTTCCTGGTACGATAGGTTACTTAACAAGAAATTCGTTTACTATTATCTGTAATTGAATAGCAGCATACTCCAGTTTTTGAAAAGGGCAGTAAAACAGCCACCGTCGGGAGAATACTGTGGCAAAAGGAATATCTTAAAGAACGATGATGCTCTGGTTAGCTGGTTAACTTCTTTAGAAGCTTCCGTTGGTTTATTTACTAGAAACACTAACAAAACTAATGTAAACCTAATGTAAACAGGAAGTGTGCGCTGTATTTTATGACCTCGAATCCTCACTGCACTTACCATAAAGGAGACCTTTTGCTGATTCTGGGGCTGCCTCCAAATGGTGACAGTGGTGGCAATG